GATATTTCACGAAGATCATAAACTAAAAGGGAAGCCAAAGGGTATCAAGCAAGTACTTAAGGAGCGTAACCTTTGGCCGGATAAAAGTATTCGTTTGATATGTGAGCAGTGCTCTGAAAAACAAGAAGATGTTAATTTAAAAAGGTCTGATTGTTGCGCAAGGAGGATCATGTCGTTACAACCCGATTTTTGTGAACAAAAATCAATATTAGAAGAAGCATTAATTGAAGCAAATCATATATTCGAGCGATACCCAAAGTTCTATTGTGAGTGCAACTTCATAGAACAATACTGGGGTTTTACGAAATGAGAAACAAGACGGATATGCAGTTATAATTTTGCCGATTTATTAATACAGGTTTCAGAAGTTCTTATTAGCGTTCCTGTAACAACTATCCATAAGTTTGCACGAAAGTCATGGAGGTACATGGACGCGTATAATAAAGGATTAGAGGGTAGGACCGCTGAGTGGACTGTTAATAAATATAAATCCCATCATCGCTTACCCGAAAATATTGAAAGAATAATGAATTAGTTAGACAGTAATAAATAAATAAATTGAAATGTAATAAATATCATATATACTTAGCTTTTACGATACGATATCTGTTTTTCAAATAGTATGATAGTAGAGATTTTTTTGAATGACGTGTGGTATAGCAGTGTCGTGTTGTTAAAAAATATAAACGCGTATTCGTGATACAAAATTCTTGAATTTTTATTGGTTGATATTATGTCACGTGATTAAGGATCAGTTTCGGAAATTTTGAAACAAAATCACGTGATTGTCGAGTATAGACTTCCGGCATCATATAATAAATTTTAAATTCAAAGCATCAATTAATTTAAAAGCCTTATCTTTATCTTTAGAATGTTATGCATTAATTACATCATCATTAAGTGTATCAATAACTGAAAAAATACAATAACTTGATAAAGATTATATATAACATTTGATATAGATAACTATCTTGTATTAATAAATGTTCAATATAGTAAGCTAAAGATATTCATTTACATCTTGTATAAACTTTAAATTTTGCATTCGCTTATATAATCTATTAAAATATTTATATAATTATTTGCATGTAATTTCATATTCTTTAAAATATGATACTTCTTTTACAATATCTTGATTAGCTAAATGAAGTTTATATGCAATATAATAAATAGAAGTTATAAATGGATTTCACTTTTTAATTGTATTATTATATCATTAATATATCCTAAATTAAAAATATAAAATATTATTAAATAATTAATTCAAAATTATTTCTAATTTACTAACATATCATTATAAAAGCAACATCATTTCCAAAATGAGCTATATATTTAATTTGTAATTCTTTTTTACTAAAAAATTTTTTATTTGAATTGTAATATTATTTGCATTACAATCATCAAGTTTTATTAATCCTATATATCTTAACACTGGTATATTATTTGACATGTGATTTGATATAAGTACTAAATGTTTTTCATCAGTTATTGTTGTAAATTTATCAATTAAAATTCTCCTTGATTAGAAGTATTAATTTTATCAATTAATACCTTTTTAATTACATAAAAAATAGCCTTTTCAAATTTTCACGTATATTTTGAAGTATAATATGATCCATATTGAGAAGTATCAGCAGGCGTTGTGAAGAATTCAGATAGTATTTTTATTAGAATTTAATACTAAATTACATAAGTTAGGAAAAATAAACACATTTCATTTGATGAATTATTTTTTCTTTATCATTATTTAAATGTTGAGAAAAACTTTGAATAATATTGGATTGATTTGTTTTTCTTGCATGTGTATTCTTTGTTTTTAATGTGCCTATAATTAAATCTTTTTTGTAAATAGTATATCCTTTAACCATTTGATTATTATAACCTGCTTTTTCACACTAAATACAAAACAAAATTTTTCCCATTAATCTTACGATATTCCAGCTAGTCACTATATATATCACGCTATTGTTCTTTTGGAGCTGCTACTGCCTTTGATTTTTATTAACTGAAACTTTGCTTTCATCGATTGTAGAGTTAGATTTTTTTTATCTGTGTTATTAGAAGGAGTTTCACTATTTTGTTCAGTATAGCCTAAAATTTATCCATTTTTACAAAGTAAAAAATGTAAAATTTTGATTATAACATAATCAAAATTTAACAAAAATCTTAATAAGTTGATAGAATATTGCAATTAAATCAATAAATTAAAAATACATTTCAATAAATAAAAATTTTATTTTATCGTTTTTATCAATTATGTGACTGTGCGCAGCTATGCACAACTGTACGGGACTATATATAGTCCAGTTTATGCTACAACTGTGCAAAATTTACTATACGTATTTGTGCACACTTTTTCAAAATTTATGTGTGGAATGTTTTTGATCATATGCAAGCACTGCTAAAATCATACACTGGTCCTGATAATCAATGATATTTTCTAATAATTATCCAAATGAAAAGCTTCAAAATCATCCTAAAGGATTAAAACAAATATTACAAGAGCGAGGAAAATGGTGGATTTAAATTAGAATGCAGAGAGTGTAAAGAGAAGAAAAATGATGGAAATTAAATTAATTGTTATGCATAACGAATAATGTCCTTAGAACTTGATTTTCTTATGCAAAAGGATGTAATTGCTGAAATTATTGAGAGAGCAGGTCATAAATGTATTTTCTATCTGATATTCCATTGTGAATTTAATTTTATTAAATGTTATTGGAGGCTGCAAAAAGACATGTAAGAGAAATTGTAATTAGGTTTAAAAAAAATTATATCACAAAGTCTTGAATCAATTTCATTAGTTACAATTAGAAGGTTTGCAAGAAAACTTGGCGTTATATGGATTTTATATCAAAAGGGTATTGGTGAAAAATTAGCTGAATATGCAGTTAAAAAATATAAGTCAAATAGAAGGATTTCAGACGAAATTATTGAAGAATTATTAGAGTGTTTTCTATTAAAATTCGACAATCTGTAAATTTAACAAAATATTTAATATGAATTTTTGAATCAACTTAAATATTTATCACCTGAAATCGATGTAAAAATTCAACATATTTAATGATTGAAAAATTAAAAAGTATAAAAATTTAAACTGATACGCTTGCTGCAAATAATTTACAAGATTTATATGAATGATTGAATATGTTTAAATATAAGTAAATATATTATAAAACTTATTTTATTCGAAAAAACGTGATTTATGCCGTCTGATATTATTTAGTCCGGAACGAAGTGAAGTACTAAATTCGGTGTCCGCCCGCTCAAAATTTGAGTCGATACGTGATTGGTCTCTTTCGTTACACTTGTGTTCCGGACTTAACAACGGTTTCCGAAACCGTTTCCTAGTATAGTAAAATTTCATCTTCGCCGAGTGATTTATCACATTTTATACTGTTCGTTTTTTTTATTATATTTGGAGAGAGATATATATAAACAACATAGTAGTAAGAGTTTTCTTTTTACAGCGAATCGACTAAGAAAATGACGGACTTACCAAACATGCCTTCCTTTGATAGTCTTGCACTAAAACCCGAGCAACGTTGTAATAAAGTTTTTAATGCTATAATAAAAACGCTATTGCATAACAGAAATCAATGGATGACAGCAATGCAATTAGTCGGTATGCTAGTCGTCGTGTTAAAGCAAGCGAGTCGGAAGTCGTTTACGATAAGTATCACTTAATTAAAATTTTCGACCTTTTCTTTATAGAAGATTGTCGGAAATTAGATCTAGCTCAACTTCGGTGCGTTTTTCCTCCTCGAATTCTTGGCACGCTGTGATCGTCGTCTTTTTTCACTCGTGTCGAGTTTGACTAATTCTGCTGACTACTTAGGGGAAATACGCCGAGAGCTACTATTCAAGGTGCAATTTCCACAGGACTCTCCACGGCCAGATCATTAAAAGCAGAACCTCCCATTGAAAAATATAAAGCTACTTATGGTGTTTGTTATCGTATCTCCTTGAAGTTATTTCCAAAAGATTCAGAGGTTACTGCTTTAATGGATATGAATCCTCCTCCCGACAATGTAAACCAAAATCCTCCGGTAAGAAAACCTCGTCCTAAAGCGCGAAAACTTACTTACACTAAAAAGAAAACACAAACACAAGCAAAAAAGAAAAAACTTCCACCAAAAAAAATAACTAGTGCAAATAAAAAGATCACGCAAACGAATAGATCTACTAAATCTCGAAAACAACTCTATCATTACACGTCGGAAAGCGATTCTGAAGAGAGTGATTCTGATGATAGCGAATCTGATGGTAGTGAAACAGATGGTAGCGATACCGATTCATCAGATGATCAACCTTCACGTAAAAGGATTGCTAGATATCATTCTACAAGTGATTTTACAAGCGAGAGCGATTCAGACTCATCTGAAAGCGATATATCAATGGATACATCACAACAAGACACAAATGATACACTACAAAATGAGTATGATCTAAATTAAAATATATATATATTTTTTTTTTTATATTTTTTTATATTAACATAATAATAATACATAATAATTTTTAATATCTTATTAATTATCTAGGATCGATGACTTCAATTCGTCGCTGTGTACAACAAATGAACCATCAGATTTTGACATTAATTTATCCATTGGTCCCACATCATTTGCAGTTGCTCAGGAAATCGGTTATTCTTATGCCCGATTTCGTCATCAGGGAAACATGAGATATCCAAAATCGAATTGTGAAGACTCATTTTGTATTAAAGATTTAAAAAACTTGGATGGATCTTTATTATGTAGATTATTTTGTTTAGCAGATGGGCATGGAGGTCCGGGATGTTCTGCATTTTTAACAACTCAAATACCAGAATGTATAGAAAATATGTTACGTCAATATGATTATTCACAACTAGATGACCAAGAAGTCCAAGACAAGTTTAAACAAGATATGATTTTGCTTATTAAACAGTTAGATGATGAATACCTTGAAGCGAAACGTGAGGAATATCTCAGATGGCAGGTCCATGATACTTCAGCAGAACCAGAACCAGTCGATGATGGTGCTACCCTAGTCATCAATCTGTTTTTTGGTGAATGGTTCATTAATATAAATGTTGGAGATTCCCGTACACTTATTGGTTGTAAAATAGAAAATAAGTGGATAGTGGAAATTTCAAGTGAGGACCATAAGCCATATTTAGAACGCCTTGCTTTACAAATCTATTCCAATGGTGGTGTATTTGTGGATAATCAAGATAAACCTATCAAGTTTGATCCATTTCCTCAAGATCGTAATGTTCGTCCAAATTTGAAGAATGCGCGAATTAGATTGCAAGCCGCTGATAATGACCTTGGCGTGCCATATAAAAATAGTAATGGCATTCATTTTTCACTAAATGTCGCTGCAACTTGTGGAGATTTACTTTTCAAATTGGATCCTTCAAAACCAGTTATATCTTGTATGCCAGACATATTTTTTGAAAAATTAGGACCATTCACAGAGTATAGTGGTAATAGGTTTATGTTAATGAGTAGTGATGGATTATTTGACCATTTGTACTCGAATAAGGCAGAATTACAAAACCAAACTATTGCTACATGTATTGGACAACAACTGGATGCTGGGTGTCAGTTAAAGAAAATTGTAGCGCACCTTTGTAATCGAGAAGGAGATCGACACTTATTTGAAAATACTTTGCAGGAATATGATGATTGTACATGTATATTAGTATTGATGTAACATATTTTTGATTTATGTACTTGTAGCTTTGTTATTCTTTTGAAAAATTTTCAAAATAACATGCTTTTCATATTTTCTGTTAACTAGGTTTTTTTGCAACTTTAATTGTTTGAATTTCATTAAAATTATATATGTGTATATATATGTTCCTTATATATATTTATAACTAATTTGCTAAGTTTTTTTTTCAATCAAAATGTTATTAATTATAAAATATGATAAAAGATAAAATAAGTTATATTAATTATATCGACTGCGCCACGATTTTGATCGATATTTAATTGTTTTGGGTGGCTTGGAAATTCAGTTCGTTCCTCAGAATATTTGAATATTTGAAAACAATTTAAAATGGCGGCCAAGGTATTTAAATTGTTAATATATAACTAATTAATTGATCTCACCTTTGAAGAGGTACTGATTCGCTCGTTTTTATTATTTATTTAGTTTGATCGTAAAGCTGATGAAAAATTAGTTTTTGAAACCAGTGAAGATGTCAAAGTGTAAGTCAATAACTTGAATAATTTTTATTTTATTTCATTACTTTTGATTTAACACAAAAGAATTACATTATTTTTTTAGAGTTCCCACCTTTGATTCTATAGGATTGAAGGAGGATCTTTTAAGAGGGATCTATGCTTATAGTAAGTACAATTTTTTTTTTTTAAAAAAAAAAATGAACCATAAAATTATCAAATATAATACTAATAATGCATCGATTCTTAAGATTTTGAAAAACCGTCGGCAATTCAACAAAGAGCTATCGTTCCTATAACTAAAGGTCGCGATGTAATTGCACAAGCACAGTCTGGAACGGGTAAAACTGCCACCTTTTCCATTTCTATCCTTCAATGCATTGACACAACAGTCAGAGAAACACAAGCTCTTATTCTATCACCTACAAGAGAATTGGCGACTCAAATACAGAGTGTAATATTAGCACTTGGTGATTATATGAATGTGCAATGTCACGCATGTATAGGTGGAACTAGTGTTGGAGAGGATATTCGTAAACTAGATTATGGTCAACACGTTGTTTCCGGCACACCAGGTCGCGTTTTTGACATGATCCGACGTCGAAATTTACGAACTCGTCATATAAAGATGCTTGTATTAGACGAAGCTGATGAATTACTTAATAAAGGCTTCAAAGATCAGATATATGACGTATATCGCTATCTTCCACCTAATACACAAGTTGTTCTTTTGAGTGCTACTTTACCTTACGACGTTCTTGAAATGACTACAAAATTTATGACAGAACCAGTTCGTATATTGGTTAAACGTGATGAATTGACATTAGAAGGAATCAAACAATTTTTTGTTGCTGTTGAAAAGGAAGAATGGAAATTCGATACACTATGTGATTTGTATGATACACTTACAATTACACAGGCAGTAATATTTTGTAATACGCGCCGGAAGGTAAATAATTTTTTTTTCTTTTAAATCCTATTCATTCAGCATAAATATTTATTTAATTTTTTAGGTTGACTGGTTAACTGAAAAAATGCGCGAAGCAAATTTTACGGTTTCATCAATGCATGGAGATATGCCTCAAAAGGAAAGAGATGCTATCATGCAAGAATTTCGTCAAGGCGCAAGGTAATTAAAATTTAATTTTTTTTAACATCGATTGTATAATATTAATAATTCTTTCTTTTTTTTCTTTTTTATGTTAAAGTCGTGTGTTAATTACTACTGATGTTTGGGCTCGTGGAATTGACGTTCAGCAAGTGTCTTTAGTGTAAATAATTTAAATTTCTCATGATTGATCTATAGAAATACATCTTTAATATATTCTAATTATTTATAAAGTATAAATTACGACTTGCCAAGCAACCGTGAATTATACATTCATCGTATCGGTCGATCTGGTCGATTCGGAAGAAAAGGTAAATCTTTTAGGATCTTTAAGGATAATTCGTTTCAATTACACTTTATTTATTTATTATTTTCGAACGATCTCAGGAGTTGCTATCAATTTTGTAACTTCTGAAGATGTTAGGATTCTTCGTGATATTGAACAGTATTATAGTACTCAAATAGATGAGATGCCAATGAATGTATCAGACTTGCTTTAAACACCAGCCCCTAATACATGATTTCTTTTATATAAGTAAGGATGAATAGTTTTTTTCAATGTATTATCATCCGTGAAGTTCACGGATTAAAACGCTTTCGGTTGGACCTACTAATTTCCTTTATTCATTACCTTAGTATCGAGTATTAGAGATCTATTTTTACTAGTACTGGGAGGTAAAGAATAACACCTTTTCTTAAGAAACGAGGTTTTATTTATAACAAAAATTTTGTCCCTTACGAATTTAGAATATTCATTTTTACATAAATAAAAATTTATTAAATTACGATTTACTAAATTAGACTTTCTGATTAGGTTTAAATTAATACAAACTCTCTCGATCCATCATTGATAGTTAGTCTCGTGATTTGTCTTAACAATGTTATTAAAATTCATTCTTACAACATATATTTACGCGAAAAAAAATATCTTCGGGCAAATAATTTGCATTAGAATCGCGTACAATTATAGAAAATTACTACTAAAAAAAAGGTCTGAAAATAAATTTGATTTTCTTTAAAATAAAAGGATGTCTTTAATAAGAAATAAAAAATTACGATAAACGAGGCAACTAATCATGACATAAAAATATTATTACTAAATTCTAAAGAATTTCAAAATGAACCAAAATAATTATTTCCTTTTGTGGATAATGCCGGCCGGAATGTTAGACACCTTGTTAGCTCTGAATATCAATTTTATTTTATTTTTTAAATAGATCGCACCAAAATCAAAATTTTTTACTATGATCAATAAGCAAATTATTTTTAATCTTACTAAGCAAATTTTTATTATAACTATAAAAAATTCTATATTAAGTTAATAAATAAAGTATTATTTTTCAATTATAAACTCTAAGGTTGGCATTGCATTTATTGCATATAATTAGATTTCAATAATAAATATCTTAAGAAAAATGCTAATTTTAGTAATATTATTTAATAATCAATATACAGTTAGACTTGAATATAATCCAGTAATGGCAAATTATAACTTGAAATTTATAATAATACTAAGATTATTTGAGATCATTTCAAGGTCTTTTGCCAATCCTACTATAATCATCCTATCAATAATTACATAATATAAAAATTTTTTATAATCATGTTTATATTAAAACCAGTTATAATTAAATTAATAAAAAAATATCTTTATATTATCACAATATAATTAAAACTTTTTATAAGCACATATTTTGAAAAAATTACTATGTAACTAAAGTGATGATTATAAACAAATCTGGCTGTATAATTTATAAAGATGATGCAACAATTAATTTTAAAATTATAACATAGACTAAAATTAGTTGCAACATATATTGCAACAGTATAAGTTGCAACTAAAGATGCCTTCCTAAACTATTTTTAAAAAATTTGAGTTTCAAAAGATTTGAGATAAAATTATTTGTTTATAATAAATATCTTTACCTAAACTTCTAATAGGATTTCCTAAACTCAATTAAGTTTCATCAAATTTCAGATTTAAAAAAAAATTATTTTAAAGGTTTTAAAATAGTTTCTCAATTTTTAAGCTATATATTAAAATAGGTTTTGAACAGCATTATTAGTTGTAACATTTATAAGTTAAAACTAATTATAATGTATGCTATAACATTAAAAGTTACAGTTCTTAACTTTAATAATTTGCAATTTTATTCTTTATCTAATGAATATTTAAATATAGCAATTGAATAAAATTGAATATTTTTTTAAAAATAAAAGTATGTTTGAATTTCATGAAAATTGCCTTCAAAAATACTATATTTCATATTTTATTTTAAAAAAAAATTTTTTATATTCAATTCAATTTAATCAATTGATTTAATTTGATTTAATTTGATCAAATATTTGATTTGATTAGATTTGATTGATAAATATTTGATTCAATTTGATTCAATTTAATCAAATTTAAATTGATTCAAATTGATTCAATCAAATATTTGAGTTCAATTCAATTAGATTTGATTTGATTTGAAAAAATCAAATCAAATTTAAATTGCTTAAATATTTGATTTTGAGGAACCCTAGTAATACAATTACGTATAATGTAACTATTCTTATTATTATAATTATATTTATTATTATTATTAATATTACTATTATTATTTTTTTAGATACATTATGAATGTTAAGTATGATTATATGCTGATTTTTCAGTTTCATTTTAATTCAATTTTTTAATTTTAAGTTAATTTTTTGATTTCATTTTAATTTTAAGAATTTGTTATACAAATTTATATTTGGGTTTGATTAAACTTCTGTTTAATTATATATTTAAAAATGTAACTAATTTAAAATTTAGATTTTAATTAAGTAAAATAAAATATATCCTAAAAAGAATTTTCTATAAATAAGTTTTATTATTATATATATATATATTATTCAGATTTTTAGTAAAGTTTTCTAAAATAATATTTCTATTATAAGATTAAAGATTAAGAGAAGTAAGGATTACTAGATATTAAATTTATCAGAAAACTCAAAAGATTAATCAAATATAAAAGATTAGAAAACCATTTATAAAGCTCAAATTATACAGTCTAAATACTAGATATTAAATCAACTAGGTTTTATTGATATAAAAGATTGTAATATAATGAGAAATGCAAGATTACTGATAAAAAAGAATATGTAATATTCATATTAAACAAAATAATTGCCATAATTTTTTTACAAAATATTCTAGAGAGATAAGTTAAATATAATTTATTGAGATCAAGAAAGTATTGAGAATCAAAACAAATTATTTATTAGTCAGTCACTATTTTCTTATTATGACAATTGCTATATTTTATTAGAAACTTATTATCATATAAATGTATTATTTATTTTAATAGAAAGCTATTTTTTAAAATATTAATAGAAAATCTTAGGATTATAATTATTATTAAAGATGAGAACTGTAATTAATATATTGCAAC